GGACCACAAATGCTCTATTGGATTAAGGTCAGGTGAATTTGGGGGCCAAGACATGACTTGAAAGTCACTGGAATGTTCCTCGACAATTCGACCCTTATGACATGGTGCATTATCCTGTTGGTAAACACCATCCCCCGCAGGAAAAACTGTTGCTATGAATGGGTGAACCTGGTCTGCAACTATGTTCAAGTAGCTTACAGATGTCAGGGATTGTTCTATGAGGATTATGGCTCCCAATGTGCCCCATGAAAACATCGTTCCTGGGCGAGAAACCATGAAAACCTGGGAGAGCCCATTGTTATAGATGGAGGGTGATCATAATGTAATGGCTCTTCGGTGTATATAATATATATAATAACTGGGCTACATCCCTGTTATCATTGGTTTTGTTTAGCTCAAATAATTCAGTCGTGAGCCAAAATAATTCTTCAATAGTTTTATTTAAAGGTAGGCTGTTGGTGGTAATAGCTCACACCCATTTCTCCACACTGGAGGGGGTGGACAGCACTCTCGGACAATTCCGACATAGTTTTTCAGGATTACATCATGTTGAAGGAGACACGCAAAAACTATTGCTCCTGCATTATATACTAACAGAACTTATCTTCTAACCCTAAGCATTGTGTAAAATCATTTAATGCTTCCTAATATGGAAGTGAAAGAGGGAAATATTTTAAAAATAACTGCTCCTTTGAAATATAAATCTAATTATAATTCATTGGTATGTTTTCAGCTTTGAAGTATCTCTACACCTATTCTTTACCAAAGACATTTTATGAAAAGAGTTTTAATGCTTTTATTAATACAAAAGTATTTATAATTTTTGTGTATATATCGTTTTACTGTTTTTTAAAAATTTATATAATCTCCCAGGATGTTTTATATTTAAGTGGCAGCAGGATTTATTCCTTGTTGTTTTATTTAATAAATCTAATTTGAAAAGCTCGTGTTCATTATTACGCATGTTTATTATTATTATTCATTATTAATTTAAATGTATTATCTAATGATCATTGATGTGGTTTTTTAGATGTCGATGAAATATAAGAAAATTCAGCTTACAGTTACTGTCGCAAGTTTTATTCTAGTACTACTAGAAGGAAACTTCTCAAAAAGTGTAAGAAAAAAGCATGATTTGTTCAATTTTAATATCAACAAGAAATAATATTTTTAGGTTTGCTAACAGCTAAGGTAATAGATTTTCTGTAACCACAGTGAGAAAAGCAGTTATCTTTGATAAAGTAACTACAGACATCCTTATATATTATATATTACTTTATTCTATGAAGAATAAATCAAATATAACCATCCCTATACATTATACGAGTGTGCTTTAATTTTTTTTAAAAATTGCTCAGAAACTAGTTCAAAATTTTGTTAAAGGGCTAAAGTTTTTTAAAAAAATTTTTTTTTTCATTGTTTCTTTTTTATTTTCATGCATTAGTCATAAAAAAGTACAAAACTGTCAAATAAATAATTTTACTGCGCTCGAAAATTTCTTTCATTTCTTTTAATTTTACTGTTTCTCAAAAATTTCGAAAAATAGTCAAATATGTAGCTTCAAAACTAATTTGAATTTTTCGTGTTTTCTATTCAAAGATATAAAAATAAGCTTCTGCTTAAAGAAAAAAAAAATAATTAAACTGTGACGTAAAATATTCGCATCAATAACATTTTGATATTCGATTAATTTCTCTAGAAATGTGCATGCAAAACCTCTCTCGCTCTTTTTTTTTAAATATGAGAGGTAATCAAAAAATACTTCCACAACTAAAGCATTCAACTTTGTGTCGTTTACGTGACCTTTTAATAGTTGAAATTTTTATGTATTTAAAAATTAAAATAAGCTTCTACAGTATGAAATTAAATGGATATATATATTTTTTGTTCTTTAACTTCATACAGCATACGTCTATATTACTAAAAAACAAGCTGAATAAGAGAAAATGTTTATTTTCATGATACAATGCTATGGCAAGTATAGCAAGGCTGTAATAAGAGAATACATATTTTCTATTTTCCTGTTTCTTGAAAAACATAAAAAAAGATATCTCGTTTTCATTCGATAAAATATCGTATTAATTAAGGTTTCAGACGCTCCTAAAATTACCTTTAAAAGTTAAAATGATAATTAAAATTGTTAAATTTTATTTTATTTTATAACCGGCGTTGACCGGCAAGTAATTTTGAACCCAACCTAGGAGACAAGGGAACTCTCGGATCAGGCATCGGGACAAATTAGCCCTCATGGTGGACTCTTTGATGGAACTATCCCTTATTTGCGTTACATGCAGAGGAAAACCACGAAAACCTTCCACAGTTAGCCTGAAGGCAAAGCGGATCCGCCTCTCACTGATGATATTTTACGTCATCACTGTGGCCACTGCAAGGATTCGAACCTGGGACACTTTATTGGTAGGTGAACGCTCTATCCGCTGATCATCGCGATTCTAAAACCTCTAAATTGAAATACAAATGAATGTCCTCATTTTGATTTACATTTAGTTAATTATTTATTTACTAAATTTTTTTAATGCTTCTTAAATTAAAGCCTTCTAAAAGGTTATACAATTTGCTGTTGCATGACTATGAATTATTGAATGATCAGGAATTATTGATAAAATGTATTATTTTATTTCGGATCTCTGCTATAAATCAATTTTCGTAATGATACTTTTTATTAAATCTGTATATTTTTAGGATCATAGTAAAAAATTAGGTTAAAAATTAATCTTGCAAATTAATCTTTAAGCGGGGAAAAAATTATGAACACTGTCGAAAGCGTTTGAACCGGTGAAGTAGGCGAGATTAAAGTCATCAAAACTATTTTGAGTGCCTGTTGCAATTTGAAATATAACATGATATAATGTATTATTTTATTTCGAATCTCTGCAGCCAATATTAAATTAATTTTCGTAAAGACACTTTTTTATTAAATCTGTATATTTTTAGGATCATAGTAAAAAATTAAGGTAAAAATTAATTTTGTAAAATTAATCTTTAAGCGGGGAAAAAAATTATGAACACTGTCGAAAGCTTTTGAACCGGTAAAGTAGGCGAGATGAAAGTCATTTTGAACACTATTTGAAAGTCAACACTGTTTTGAGTGCCTGTTACAATTTGAAAGATTTTAGCAATCGCTTTTCACAATATATCTTTAAGCGTTTCATTATTTTTTAAAAATTTGAAAATAAGGAGAAAATTTAATAAAAGTCACGTAGCTAAGCTATGTTAATTTAACACAGTACCAGGTATTAAAAAAAATTATGCATTCTAGAATTTTATTATTATTTAAAAAGAAGGGACAGTATTTAATAAAATCCATTTAAATATATTAAGAACAAAGAAAAAAAACTCTGTTTCAATTATCTATGATCATTTTTAATTCTTTTTTTCTTTATATTCAGACAAATTTTAAAATAATATTTACTAGTAAAATTAAAAATAAGTATAAATGGATTAAAAAAGGGTGCAATGAGAAATATCATAATCATGCTCAGAATTTCTTAAGACAAAATATAGTTTTTCTGTTTGTTGGATTTTCATTGTGAATAAAAGCACTTTCTTATCCACACTTTTCTAGCGGCAATGAATTAAGTGTTATAAAACAATGTATGAATGAATTTAACGCAAACGACAAAAAATAAAAAGCGATCACACGCGATTCCTGACTACCCTTCTCTGAAACAGCCTGCCAAGGAGGCAGAAAACGTTTATTAGTTCCACATCCAATCAAATAAAAGTATATAAATACTGGCGCCATTTCTGTCAACATCAGCAGCTTCCATTGGATGGCTCTACCTTCCTCAGAAATCCCATAATTTGGCGATTATTTGCGATTTTTCTCTCTCTCTTTCTTTCTTCATATAATTCTACGTTGGAGTAAGATTGTTGTATTTTTCTATCCGATTAATTTATTATAAACAATGGCTAGTGCTGTAGCAAAAATCTCTCGATCTGTGTTGAAAAGCTCTTCGGGAAGCATCAAAAAGTCTAGATCAATTGTCAGCACATTACAAGATCGCAATTGTAAGTAAATTTAATTATTTCTGATCTTACCGGTGTCAAAGCCGGTAGCTATTTTCAATGAAAAGTAGGCTTAAGTATGAATTAATGTGTCAAATTTTGGCGTCCGATTTTCGAGCCACGTGTTAAACAGATCGTTGTTTACAATAATTTACTTGTCATATTTAGCATTGTTATTAGTAGCTGATCTAAATTTAGTACCTGAGTACAATTAAAGTGTTTGTTGTTAAATTAGAAAAAAAAAATGAAGTCTCATTTGTGCAATACTGTGCAGGGCATAATTCTATTTAAATAAAATTTGTAGTGTTCGGGAATTTAATTATTTTTTTATGAAAAATATTTTATAAATACTTTTTGTTACAATTAATAAATTTGCGATAACATGCAAGTATGAGATTTAAATTAATTGCCAGTTTTAGATTAATGTTGTCACACTAAATTTTAATTCCAGTACATATTGTATACTTAAACATTTATCTCCTTTAGGGCTGATTAATTAATATTAGGTCTATGTATGTTATGACTTTTAAAAATTGTAAATATTTTTAAATTCGAGGCTTTTATTTAGTGTAAAATATTTTTGTTAATGCCTGTTAAGTAAGATCACTTGTCTTCAGTTCATTTTAATGATCAAGTACAAAACTGTCAAAAATAATTAGAATCCTCAAAGTAAGTTGAGTTGCAAGTGGTCACCTGAAACAAGTTTCATAGTAATAATAATAGGAAACAAATTAGGGGTCTTTTGGATTTGTAAACTGTTTGTAAAACCTGTTATGTTTACTTGTTTGTATTTAACAAAGATTTTGAAATAATGAAATAATAATTATTTTCCTGTATTTTTTTAAAAAAATAAATGTAATCCTCAATTTTAATCAATATTTTGTATTAAGTTTTCAATGCAGAATATTAAATGTTCTAGAGAATAATTATTTGGATATTTTTTACAATCATTGTTTGTTAAAAACTCTAGGTATACCTTTTATTAAAGTCTTAAGTAATTGAAAGTATTTGTGTTAAATCAATATAATTATCAGTTTCTAGTTAATATTGCCGCATCACAATCATTTATATAATTTTACATTTAAATTTTCTTTGCAAAACTTTTTTTTTTTGAATTCATATATAATATAACTTTATGTTTTCTTTGTAAGGAGAAAATTTTAAAACGAAATGAAGTTTTTATTGAAAATAATATCTATTTTAAAAATTGTTTGTTATTTTAATATATTTAAATTTTTACCTTTTAAAAAGAGTAAAAAAAGAATAATTTTTTTAAAAAAACTTTTAACTTTTTTTTATTTAGTAATGTATGTTTAAACTAATAAATATAGCAATTTTTTTTAAAAACAATTATGACTGAGATGCGTTTAAATTCATATTTTTTGAAATCTTTGGGAATCCTTTCTGTAAATAACGTGTACTTACCTATTATCTACTATCGAATGTGTAATTTATGTGTTTTAATAATATATTTGTCCAGACCAAACAATATTTGAAGTGTGGAATTTTAATTTGCTAGTGCTCTGTAATTGTTCAATTAATTTATTATAAATTTTTTGATTTTTTTTTTGTACCTATAAAAGCATGTAGCTTTATGAAAGTAATTTATTTATATATTTTATTTAATATTAATTTTTAGCATTATTAAATTAAATATTAAATAATAGAAAAAATAATATTTTCCATAAGAATAATAAGTTAATAAATAAGTACTATATGTTTATTATTCTCATGGGATAAAATTAAATGATTAATAAGGTGCATAAGAAATGTTTTAATTAGGACTAGTTCCTGAAATTATTTCCCTAATTTTTAAAAATATTGAAAAATTATCAGAGCCACTACTTTTGCTATTTTGGGAATTTATCTTTATGTTAAATTTGTCCCTTTCTGTACAAACTGATTAAAATTTTCGAACAGTGTTTTGAATTGGTGGTAAAAATTTTCTTTGCACACCCACTGCCCACCAAATTTCAAGAACCTAGCACATACGGTTCTAGAGTTATAATACAGATAGACACACAAGATCTTTATTTTATTTTTATAGATTAGTGCTTTTATGCATCAGTCAACGTATAAATTGACATTTTTGGAAAAAAAGAAAAAAAAAAAACTGCTGTGGTTGCAAAATTAACAATAAATATTTTACTGAGAAAAATTCAAAAAATTTATTATTATATTCTTAGAATAAGTTAATTTAATTATCAACAATAAATAATATAAAATAAATTGTATAATATTTGTATTAATCTATTTTGCTCGAAGAAATAAGTCTCTGCAAAAAAAAAAAAAAAAGGGATTAATTAAAATTACTGAAAGGAAAAAAATAAATTATTTTTTGGTAATTTTTTTCTCATGTAAGAAAGCAAAAATCGTGTAGGCTAGGTCTTCATAATTATGTAATTTTTGCCTACATTTTAATTTGGCTTAGAATACAACCTATTGTTTTAAGTGAAAAAAGAAAGGAAGAGAAATTTTAAGGGTAAATAAAAATTTATATCTGATATGAGAAATTTAGATCTGATTTACAGCTATCTGATGTGTTTCGAAAGTGAAAATTACTTCATTGCTTTCTTTTCATATCTTATCTCCTTCTTATTTTATTGTAGTTGGATAATTTTTATCTCATCAATACTGTATGTAGCCTACTTTATGTATGTTTATTGAAATTTGTTTTGAAAGCATTACCTTGGAAGTTTACCTATATATGTGAAACCACTTTGCATTTTTCCCCCTTAAAAGTTTAAAAAAAAAAATTGATTTTTTAATCTAGACTAGAAACAAATCGCTAACAAAAACATAAATCTTATGATTATTTTTATTAAATTTTTTTATTAATATTTTTTTATTAATTTTTTACTTTGTTAAATAAAGCTTAAATGGAGAGCAAACTATTTTACCAGCACAATTTAAATTATAGCTGCATTGCAGTGATAGCAACTTTGCTCCACTTTGTGGGAGAGAAATTTAGTGGTAGCAAAATTTATAATGTATAATTTTTAGTTAAAAAAAACTTATTCAAATTTATTTTTCCCACCACTGCACATAAATAATTCAAAAGTGTATACATAACAAACGCTTATTTCCCTCTATGTTATGGGAAGCCTTTTAAAAATTTAGCAAAATTAGCCAAGTTTCTGCAATATTTTTTTAAATAAGCCACCGCTTATAAAAATCTTTTACAGAAAGCGGAGCAGTTGTTATACCTTGTATTATAGTTGTAATTAATAAAATAGTGTGCTTCTATTGAAATCCTAAAAAATTTTTCCAATTTGATTGTTTTTTATTACTTTGAATATCTTGAAGCTAATCACATGGAATTGAAAATCTAAAGTAATTTCAATTCTATGTGATTGAGTTTTCAAAAATTTATTTGTCAATGAGCAACATTTTGTTTAATTATTTTAGCCAATTTTTTTCATTTAGTGCACTAGTAACATTTGCATAGAGCCAGGATGTTACAGTGATTAAGGCATAGTTCTATCACATGAAGCCATTCCAGCTTGTAAGGAACGGTATAGGTGGATGGTGTACAGTGCTGACTAAATTACCTTCATTTGCCATTAGTCTCAAAATTGTAGAGCTTTAACTTTTGTGATCTCTCTAGCTGACAAGCTGGTTATTGTGAGAGGGCTCATTTTCTTTTTACAAAAATATTAAAAACTGGTTAACTTACCATTAAAAAAAAAAAAAAAAAAAATCCAGTTTTGAATGACGTCCCCCCCCCCTTTTTTTTTGGTTAAGTAGGGGATAGACAGTCCTGGTTACACCCAATAGCAGTGTATATAGACTCCAAGTATTCCTACAGCACAGTACCCGTGCAACAATTTTTTTAAATAAAGGTATAATCATTCATTTTGTGGATGCTTTGTATGCTCATTTAACTTATAATCAATAATTTATATTCAAAAAATAATTTAAACTGTTTAAATTTTTTGAAATTTAAAAAAAAAATTGAAACTGTTCAAAATTTTTAAATTTTTGGGCTTTTTTATTTTAACATATTTAAAATTTTTTTTTTCTTAGTGCTTACAATATTCATCTTAACAATTTTTTGCATTCATTTGTTGATATATCAATTAGAATGTTTTTAATTGATTATTTTGTAAAAAAAGGTTAAAAATTCCCTTTAGGTATTTATAACATGCTGTAAAAATTGTACTACACCTCATAAAATGCTTATTCCATACACAGTGTAAATAAGTGTATTTTACTTAAGATAAAAAAAGTTTACTTCAAAGCTTTATTTTAAATAGAAAAATTCCTTTGGGATTTAATTGAGATTAAATTGCAAAATTATCATCTATGAGAAAAAACACTTTAAAGTCTGTCTGAATTTTCTGTATTAGGGCAATTTAAAATCATTCATAACTTTTTTTAAAATGTAGATAGAGAGTTTTTTTTTCAGTGCATTTGAAATAGTTTGAAGTTTTAATATAAGCAATAATTTTCTCTCTCGATATTTTGGTCATTTTTGGGGTACTGTGAAGCTGGCTTTTTATTAAAACATTTAAACAGCCTATTGGAGCTCTTTAACTTTCACGGAACCAATTATCTCTTTAAGTAAAGTGAGTCCAGTCCACTAAGCTTTTGGTACATAATCAAACAAAAAATAATTTTTTTCAAAAGCATACTGAAACTTCTCTTTGTTTTGGATGGGGAAATTTCTTTATAAGAAATTAAAATCATTACGTTTTTAAGCTGTAAATCTAAAAAGTATATAGATTTTGAAAGAGGGATTCATGTTACTTCTTCTTTTTCTCATGGTAATTGATTGATCGCTTAAAAATGTATCGGTCTATTGAACAGTAAATCTGCCTTAGACACCTTATTTAATCATTATTTAATTACACGCGATGATTTGCAATTTCCTTTCCCGCATCTATCGTTAAAAGTAAACCTGCTGGTCATTGTTCTGGCTGTTGTCCAGATTAAAACCACGCTAACCTTAATTTCCTTTCTTTTTAGTTCCACCGTCTGTCTTCTTGCCAGCCGGGTTAACA